TTTAAGACTATGATCAGTTAGACTAAAGTTCAATGTTTGAAAACTGTTGTTGACCACAAGGATAGTTGGTTGTGGCATTTGAGGTTTGGATATTTGAATTTTCGATCACTGAATCAACTGATTACTTAAGATATGGTTACTGGAATTCCAAGTCTTGAGATGTCTTAAAAACTTTGTGAATGTTGTTTAGTAGGAAGGAAATCCAGAAGTTCTTTCATTTCGACTATGCCAATGAGATCATCTTGCATACTCGAAGTGGTACATTCAGATGTATGTGGTACATTTGAAGAATATACAATTAGTGGAAACAAATATTTTGTTTTGTTTGTCGATGAGTTTAGTCGAAAGATGTGGATCTATGTGATCAAACGAAAGTACGAAGTATTCGAAATATTTAAGAGATTCAAGATACTTGTCAAAAACCAGAGTGAGAAGAAGATCAAAGTTCTGCGTACAGATGGAGGTGACGAATACTCATCCAAGATGTTTGAATATTTTTGTGCAGAAGATGGTGTTGATCATGAAGTAACTACTCCTTATACACCTCTACATAATGGAATTGCTGAAAGAAGAAACATAACCATATTAGATATGGCGAGATGAATGTTGAAGCAAAAGAATTTGTCAAAGTCTTTATGGGGAGAAGCTGTTTCGATTGTAGTTTATATTTTGAATAGGTGTCCTACCAAGATATTGAAGAACAAAGTTCCTGAAGAAGTATGGAGTGGCAAACAACCATTAGTGAGTCATTTAAAGGTGTTTGACTCTATATGTTACAAGCATGTTCCTGATGCAAGAAGAGGGAAGCTTTATGACAAGAGTGAACCTATGATTCTGGTAGGATATCATAAAACTGATGCATACAGACTATTCAATCTAGTTAATCGAGATATTGTGATTAATGAAAATTCTTCCTGGGATTGGAATTCCAGTAATTCAATTAACAAGCCATTGATGAGTTCTGATGTTGATGAAGAAACTGATGAAGTAAAGGTCGAAGGAATTATTGAGAATCCAGTCGAAGTCGAAGAAGAAGCAATTACGATAATTTTCGACACAGTCGAAGTCAAAGAGGCTTTGGCTGAAACAAGTCAAATACCTCAAAGAAATAGAGCTCTTCCAACAAGACTTCATGATTATGAAGTGGTGGGTGATGATGAAGTCACACCAGATGAATAATTAGTTCATTTTGCTTTACTTGCAGGTGCCTAACCAATTAAATATATAATGAAGCTTTGAATACTAAGCAATAGAAGTTAGATATGGTCGAAGAGTTACATGACATCGAAAGAAATAACACATGGGAGTTAGTCGAATTTCCAGCATATACAAAAGCTATCGAAGTAAAGTGGGTATTCAAGTTGAAACATAATATTGATGGCTTGATAACAATACATAAAGAAAGAGTAATAGCTCAATGGTTTCTTCAAAGAGAAGGACTCGACTACTCTGAAGTATTCGTTCCAGTAGCAAGATTGGAGACTGTTTGACTAGTGGCAGCATTAGCATGCAACCAAGGCTGGTTGACCTTTCATTTAGATATGAAATCAACATTTCTGAGTGGTCCTTTAGACGAAGAGGTCTATGTAACACAACCTATAGGGTTTGTGATTCAGAAGGAAGCGAGTAAAGTATATAAGTTGCACAAAGCGCTCTATAGCCTCAGACAGGCGCCTTGGGCAAGGAACAAGAAGATCGACTCATACTTAGTCAAATTGGTATTTGTCAAATGTAAATCTGAGTATGGTGTCTATGTTCAGGTTGTAGCACAAGATATAACAATCATATACTTGTATGTTGATGACTTGCTAGTAACTGGAAATAGCTTGGAGAACTTGTCAAAGTTCAAAGAGATGATGAAGAAGGTATTTGAAATGTCTGATATGGGAAAATTATCTTATTTCTTAGGTATAAAATTTCAAATATCGAAGCAAGGTGTGGTGCGACATCAAAGGAAGTATGTCAAAGAAATACTCAAGAGATTCAGAATGGATGATTCAAATCCTGTATCCTCACATGTCGAACCAAATGTAAAATTGGAGAAGAATGGAGAGGAAGACAAAGTCGATGTAACTTTGTTCAAGAAAATTGTGGGATCTCTGAGGCATGTGTGCAATAGTCAACCTGATATAGGTTTTCTGTAGGATTAGTAAGCAGATATATGAGTGAACCAAGAGTATCACATATGAAGGCTGCAAGAAGAATCCTAAGATATTTGAAGGGTTTGATAAAATATGGAATACTATTTCGATGAGATTCTGAAGACAAATAAGCAACAATTAATTGTTTTTCAAATGCTGATTGGTGTGGAGATAAGGAAGATCGAAGAAGCACAACTGAATATTTCTTTCAAGTATTTGGTGCCCCAATGTCATGGTGTTCGAAGAAACAACCTGTGGTGACATTATCATCTTGTGAAGCCGAATATATAGCATGATCCTATGATGTATGTCAAGCAATTTGGATCAGATCTATACTTGAAGAAATGAAGGTCGAAGTGAAGAAATCTCTTGTATTGCAAATCGACAACAAGTCAACCATAAATCAAGCGAAGAATCCAGTTCTGCATGGATGAAGTAAACATATTGAAGCAATGTTTTACTTCTTAAGAGAAAAGGTAAATCGAGGTGAACTTTAAGTAAGGTATTACTTGAGTGAAGCATAATTGGCTGAATTTTTCACCAAAGGATTGAAGATTGATAAATTTCTGAATTTGAGAAAGAAATTAGGAATAGTTCAGATTGACTATTTTTGAGGATTTGATAACTTGGATTATGGGGGTGTGTTGAAATTTTAAATTAGATTTGTTATAATATTAGATTAGATTTGATTAGATTAGATTTAATATTTAATTATAATCTAAGTTGTGTAGACCCAAGTTCAATTAGGGTTGTATATAAATAGTCCTAGTCTGTATCATTATTTGTACAATTCAATAATATAAATCCTTATTTCCTTTATTATTCTCTCTTTCTCTCCTCACTAAAGTGTCCCACGCACTAATAAATTCAATTTTGATGATTGTATGTCGACAATAGTCCTTAGGTCTTGGAATTAATTATGTTCTTTTTGTAAAATCGTTGAATAATGTAACTTTTTTCATTTAAAATACTTTATCTCTCTCTCCTGTTTTAGGAAGTAAGAGCTTTGCGAGTCATAATTTTGGACGTAGTATCTCTAATACTCCCATTTAATTGAAATCATGTGAAGCTCTCTATGGTCTCATATAAAAAGCATAAACTTTTACATAAATTTTTAAATTTATTTCTTAAAAAATTAATTTATGTAGAATACAATTCATTTTTTAATATAAAAATTTAAATATTAAAAACTTTATTGGAAATTTTGAATATACATATCTTGAATCTTGAACAAATTTGAGCGTTAGAGTGCTAACCATAATAATCCACTGTGAACTACTATAAAGGAGATTAGAATCACTATTTAAGATCAATTTCTATTTGAATCTCTTCATTTTCTATTCCTTCGTGAAGTTGGAACATCCATTTCTGATGTCTGGAACTACTGTGGAGTTGGTTGGTACAACTAGAAGAATTCTGGGATTTATTACTTGTACACAATGTGCTTGTTGTATGTCAAAGTAATCGTTCGTTGTAATCTTTTGGATTTCAATTTAATCATGAAAAATTAGGTCAATACAGAAATAGAAGGTAAGCGGAAAACAAGTTGCAACGCTACTCCTTTTTGGATCGCAAAATCCATCCTGCTAAAATCAACATTCATTAATCTAGGAGATACAACATTACTATTCATAAGCCTTTGAACTCTCTATAAAAGATAATCTGCTTCTAGTGCTTGGAAACCAAAAGTGTCAAAGGCAAATGGTATAAAATCATATTGATTTTTAGAACACGCTTTCTCATGTTTGGCCACTTTACTAGAAGTAGCTTTGAAAGTTGTCTGTTCCACAATAAAACCATTATCCATCAAACTCATTAGTAGAGAAACTCCTGTCAATTCCACACAAGCATGTTTCCCTCCTACCCACCCGTACACCAAAACATCTGCTGGCCTAAATGTCGATCTCTCCTTAAGTGGGTTAGTCAAAAAATTCACTGGTGCCTCTTTCTCTATAGATACTCCGACACGTCGAAATATATCAAATAAGACATCCCTAATAAGGTCAGGTCGGTATTTGAAATCTAGAAACTCTCTATAATAAATCGCGTATTTCCCAAATATATCTAAATATATCTTAAGACAGATGAAACAAATCTCATCAATAGAAAATAAAGAAATCATAAAATAATATCTTTTGATAGTACGATAAATTAAAAATAAACTTCAACAAAAAAAATGTTAACCATTCTTTTCAAAAAAAAAAATGCCAACCATTCTAAAATTAAAATATGATAATAAATAAGGATGTCGTCATATCATCCTCGTGTAAGATGACCAGTCTACTTTTTTATTTATTTTATACTGTATTTTTTAAATCAACTTCAACATAATTAATCATTTAATTTATTTGGGAGTGTTATATATATATATATATATATATATATATATATATATATATATATATATATATATATATATATATATATATATATATATATATATATATATATATATATATATATATATATATATATATATATATATATATATATATATATATATATATATTAATTGTTATATTAGTATGTCCTTGTGTATATATATACAATAGTGTAACAAATTTTACATAGTGTGTATATCAAAGTAAATAAAATATCATTTCACATCTAAAAAGTAAACTTTGTATTATAAAAAAGGACCAAAGGAAGTATTCTACAATATTACTATGATTAGAACATGCATGGAACAAACTCAAATTATATTAATTGAGACCATAATTGTCCTATCTTTAAAAATCATTTCTTTAATAGCATAAATACTTATGAAGGTTCATGTGAAGCTCTCTAGGGTCTCATATAAAAAGCGTAGTAGCAGTCATTAGCCATTATCAAAGGTGGAGAAACAATTTAGAGAAAAAAATGGGCAACAGCAGCAGCATAGCAAAGAGATGGAAACAACTCAGCGGCGAAGACCATTGGAAAGGACTATTAGACCCTCTTGACATCGACCTACGGCATTACATAATCCACTACGGTGAAATGGCAGAAGCAACATACGATTCTTTCAACTCAGAAAAAGCATCAAAGTTTGCTGGTACTTGTAGGTATGCAAAAAAGGATTTCTTCCAAAAAGTTTATCTGGAAAATGGAAATCCATTTAAATATTCTGTGACAAAGTATATTTATGCAACTTCCCAAATAGCTCTTCCTGAAGCTTTCATTGTGAAGTCTTCTTGGGAGGATGCTTGGTGTAAAGAATCAAATTGGATTGGGTATGTTGCTGTGGCTACTGATGAAGGGAAAAAGGCTTTGGGGAGAAGGGATATTGTTGTTGCTTGGAGAGGAACTATTCAGACATTGGAATGGATTGAGGATCTTGAGTTTTGGTTGGTTTCTGCTCCTAAAGTGTTTGGTCATGACAACGTTGTTGATCCTAAAGTACATCAAGGTTGGTACTCCATTTATACTTCTGAAAATCAAGAATCTCCATTCAATAAGACAAGTGCCCAAGAACAGGTAAAACCTAGCTATTCATGTAATTTTTTTTATTTTATTTTTGAAAACTTGGTATCCGACTCTAAGACAACTAATTCAAGAGGACTAATACCACCGTACATTAGCGAGGCCATTTAAATCCAGAGCAAAGCTCTATACGAACTGTCCCATTACAACGATTATTAGCATCTGACAGAATTCGAACCTGAGACTTTGATAAAGCATACTTTGATGATTATTGATTTGTGCAGGTTTTAACTGAGGTGAAAAGGTTGGTGGAAACATACAAGCATGAAGAAACAAGCATAACAATAACTGGACACAGTTTAGGTGCTGCACTTGCAACTCTAAATGCAGTAGACATTGTTAAAAATGGTTACAACAAACCAAGTGACCCATCTGTCAAGGCATCACCAGTTGCAGCCATAATATTAGCAAGTCCAAGAGTTGGTGACGAAAATTTTAAAACTGTTTTTTCTAGTTTTAAAGATCTCTCACTATTACGCATTGCAAATGAGTTAGATATTGTACCAAAGTATCCTTTAGTTTTCTATTCAGATGTAGGGGAAGAGTTGAAAATTGACACTACAAAATCGATGTATTTAAAGAAGTCATGTAATCCGTTCAGTAAGCATAATTTGGAGATTTATTTGCATGGAGTAGCAGGGACACAAGGGAGTAATGGAGGATTCGATCCTGAGGGTAATCGTGATATTTCACTTGCGAATAAAACGATGGATGCTTTGAAAGATGAATATCATGTACCTGCGTCATGGAGGGTTGTAGAGAATAAGGGTATGGTTCAACAATTGGATGGTTCTTGGAAGCTTGTGGATCATGAGGATGACACTCAGTTTTAATCAATTCTTCATAGTTTTCGTTTTGGTTTCATCGTTGACTTTGGAAGTCTTTGTTTCTGCTTTTCTTTTACTTGTTTGTGTCTTTCCTGTGTATTGGTTTTGTTTAGCTTGTTGGGTATCTATGATTCCCTGTATTGATTTCTCTTGTTTTGACTTTTTCTTTTTAGTCTATTTTGTATCCCTAGATTGGTTTTCATATATTAAATAAAGTTTTTACATTGAGAAATAAAAATAAATAATAAATAGGATGAGGTCATGTGCATAATCCATTAAAACTAATAAAAATGGTAATTAGTTAAATTAAAACAATGTCTAAAATAGATATTTGTGGCATATTGCGGTAAACTAGTCTATCATGAGTTATGATTTATAAAATATTTCCGTCGGTCAATCTATATGCATAGCTATTCCCTCCGCGAAAGATATGAGAGATTTTTAATCTACATGAACGAATAGTGTGCACATATTCTTTCTTCAATCAATCGATGATTTTCAAAAACTAATTTTTCATTGTAGAAGGCTTTAAGGACAGGGATAACTTTGATTGGACCATAAAAGAAACATTGGACGATCAGGCGAGCGTGACTTGATAAGTCATGGGCCGCTCGATTTGACCTATCACGCCCATTGGGCAGGCCTCTCGAACCGATTTAGTATCTATTAGGAGATAATCGAAAAGTTATGCGTCAAGCCACATGTTGTTGAAAGGGTTGGTGTTTTTTACTATTGACGCGGAGAATTGGTCTTCCTAATCCTACTTGTGGGGAGAACCATTCTTCATATCCCTACTCTATAGTCAAGCAACAAGGGAGGTACCAGCTCTTCACCCAACAATTTGACCCACAAGTTAGATCTATAAATATCTCAACCTTTAGGATTGGGATGGTCATTCACTATTTTCACCTATTCAACACATATAAAGCCTTTTGCGTCATACACGTGAGCATGTTCCCCTCATTGTATTTTACACAAGTACAATTGGCATCCACCATGGGGCCTCTATAAAACTGTCTTAGGTCATACCCGTATACTTACTACTCAATCACCTTAGTCATCACTCTCATTATGGTGACATGATGAGGCATCACAACAACTAGTAATACCAACAACGATGAAAATGAGGCCTTAGCAACGATGTAAGCTGCTAAGGAGGAGTTGCATCATCAATACTAAGATGGCTATAATCGGTGCCATTAATACTAAGATGGCTATGATCGGCGCCTCTGACTCCCTAAATGCAATATTTTGTCCAACACTTTCAAGGAGGTGGTTCATGAACCTTCCCCATTTTTGGCAACTTGTTATCAAGACCTCTAGAGGAAACTGGTCCATTAGTTTTCATTGAGTAAGCATCAGGAGGTTTCAACCATTAGTCTATTTAATATTAACAAAGAGCACTATGAGTCCCTAAGAAAATATCTTTCCCAACTTAATAAGGTGACTATAAAGGTAATACATCTAAACTACGAGAAGGTCATGGTAGTAGTCCAGAATTATTTGAAGGCTAGAAACTTCAACGAGTCTTCCGCCCAGAAGTTTGCCACTTTCGTGAAAGATATTATGTCATAGGTTGAGTGTTACATAAAAAGGGGAGAGCAATGCAAAAAAGAAGGCTAGAAATGTCAAAGAACCTGCCGCCGACGAGTACGATTCTTCACATAAGCTGTGACACCTTTCCTATTAGGGATGGCCCGTAAATAACTTCATGCCCATCAACACTTATTGAGAAGATATTTTTGGTAAAGTCATTGGCACTCATGACATCCCTCCTTCGTTGACTCTCAAGTCTGACACAATTGGGCCCAAGTCTAATAGGTGGTGAAAATACCACAAGACAAAATTTCACCATACTAAGGACTACCACCATCTCAATAGGGGAACTGAGCAGCTTATTCAAGAAGGTCACTTGAAAAAGTATGTTAGAAGGAGATCTTAGTAAGCATGAGGCATGTCTAGAGCATGGGGGCATAATCAACCTAACATCTACAAGTCTAGAAAAGAAAAAGAGTCATAAAGAAGAGAGGGGCATAGGCTAGTACCCCATACACTTAATACCATCATGGGAGGTTTCAATGGGAAAAGAATCTAGATTCTTATATAGAAAATATGTCTGCCAAGTCACAGCGATGGAAGATTTTCCCACCCATCCAAAGTCATACCCAGAGGATGATCTAAACCCTAAGATCACATTATCTTTCAAAGATGATGTTGTGGTCCTCCCTCGTGAAAACTAACTTATGGTAATAAAGGTGGAGTGTGATGACTTAGAGATCAAATGAGTGTTGGTAGGTCTAGGAAGTTCTACTAGCATCTCATATTGGGACATCTTTGAATGACTAAAATTAGATTCTGACGACCTTTAATCATTCAAAGGTTCCTTGGTTGGTTTCTATTCCAAATAAGTTCAATAGAAAGGCTATATTACTTTTAAAATGGTGTTCAAATTGAATGAGAATGAAAAATGATAAATGTTATGTATCTAACTATAGATGCCCCATATTTTTATAACATAACCATCGAACAATGTGCTTTTAATATCCTAGGGGTAGCCCTATCAATTCTTTACTTCCGCATGAAGTATCCACTATAGAATGAGCATATTGGTGTGATCCATAGTGATCAAGAAATTGTTCTTCAATGTTACCAAGATAGTTTGAGGATCAGAAGAGTGGCGATGGCAGTAGTCATTGCACGACAACCACACATACACAAAGGTGAAATTTATGGATTTAGATTCCATAAATAACTTGAAAGAGATAGGCTTATGCCTATGGAGGACTTAAAAAAGATTCTTATTTGGGCCCCAGGAACTTAACCCCACCAAGTTAGGCACCTCAATGAAAGAAGCCGAAGAAGAGGAGTTGGTCTCCCAGCTCTGGAAGAACATTGACTTATTCTAATGGAGGCATTCTGAAATTCTAGGAATTAACACTAAAGTTGTATGTCATCGCCTTGCCATCAATTCCAAAATGAAGCCCGTAGCGTAGATAAATCCCAAAGTAGGCAAGGAGAAGTGAGATCCCATCGACAAAGAAGTTGGGAAATTTATAGAAGTTGGTTTTATAACTAAAATCAAATATATAACTTGGTTGGTAAATGTAGTGTTTGTTCGAAAGTCATCTCTAAAATGGAGAATTTGCATAGTTTACACCAATTTAAACTTGGTGTGCCCTAAAGACCCTTACTAATTATTATACATGAACAGGTTGATCGAAGGTTCATTAGATTACAAGACTATTAGCTTCATGTATGCCTATTCCTACTAGAATAAGATAAAAGTGGACCCTAGTTGTGCCCAAGACTACATTTATGTCGAATAACTGTTACTATTATTATAAAATCATGCCTTTCAGATTAAAAAATTTAGGTGCTACCTATTTAAAGTTGATAGACATCGTGTTTTTCTAATAAGATAGGATGCAACCTAGAGGTCTTCAAAAATGACATGGTTGTGAAGACCTCTTAGGTAGTTAAATAGTGTAGAGATCTAGAGGATATTCTAAAGTCAATCAGAGAATATAACATGTTCCTAAACCCTTCCAAATGTTTGTTTGGGGTTCATGTGGGTAAGTTATTAGGTTTCATGTTAGTAAGAAGGGGAATAAAAATGAACTCTTATAAATATTAGGACATCATTGACATGAGGAGTCTCACCATATACAAGGAAGTCCAACAGCTGACAAGATGCATGACCACCCTCTTTCAATTTTGTTCATGTGCTAAAGATAAGGATTTCCATTTCCTTTCCACCTTGAGTAAGAAGGAAAAAATTGAATGTATAAAAGTGTTAGTGTCATACCCCAAAATTTCCCTCCCTTTATTTCTACGGTCAAAAATATTTTTAATATTGGTTATATAATATTATTTTATCTTTATAAATATTCGCTTCCAAACCAATTTAAAAATATAATGATTTATTTTAGATTATTTGTACTTTTGAATAAATAAATATTTGCTCGACCTTCGTATGCTTTCAAAAGCATTTTTATTTTGAATAAACAAGATAGAAAAATTGGTAAATAATGAAACTTACAAGTACGACATTGCGGGTTTGAATCTCTTGTGTCTAACTTTCAACATTTTCTTTTTTCTATTTTTTTGTTACTAACTTTCTTTCCTTTTTTAGAGATCAGGCTTTGGGCTTTACATTCATTTTGAATAACTTACTTGCTAAGTTTTTTTTTAAACCTAATTTAAGTCTATAAATAGGAATTTTTTTTGTCCTAAGTTTTCATCCAGAAATCCACAATTTCATAATCATCCACAACTCACTAGAGTTCTCCTAAAGTTATTGTTCTTCACATCGAATAACAACAACAAATAAGCTCTAAGCCTTCAGAGTTCGGTATTCATGCAGGAAATCACATTGGAGAAAGGAAAGAAAAAACACGAAGAATAAAGGGAGGAAGCAGCTTAAGTGGGTCACTACATTCTAGATTGGTAAAACTGAACCTTTAATTGTATGACTGGATATTTGCATATGTTTGAATTTTTGTCTGATTATGTTGGTTCGCTGATCTAGTATTTATTGTAGGATTTATTATAATAGGTTTAAATATTTTTTATATTATTATATATTTATCTATTAAACTTTGTTATAACTAGTGATTAATATTTTGTATAATATTTTAAGCTTTTTTTTTCATAAATTAATTTTTAGAGATTATTTCAAACCCTTTTCTAGTTTGTTTCATTAGGGAAAATTCAAAAGAATTAATCTTCTCCTAACTCTATCTACACCCCCACAATTTACTATGCTAATTGAATTCATACACCCACCTGTGTTTTGGGTCCAGTTCAATATCTAAACTAGGGCTCTACTACCTATACCCCCTATTTTGCTAGCCCAACACAATATACACCCCCCTGCGTTTTTTAATTTAATTCCTTTTATTATTTATAATTATTATCTTTTATATTTTATATTTTAATATATTTATTATTATTATAAAGCCAAATGTATTTTTTAAACTCATCCAAATATTTACTTATTTATTGCA